GAAGACGCGAACTTGTCTGACACAGCGAGCGTTCTTGCGAGGGTATGGATGGACGGGGCAGATCTCAGGCAGAAAGGAGTCGGACCACAACTCCCGCCAACACCTGACGGACGTGCGAGCCACGTGCCTCCCGCGCCCCGTCCAGCTCCAACCTAAGTCTGTTCTGTCTTTTCTCTTTTCACACACCCTCCGACGCTGTCTCGACTGTGCTGGGCAGAGTGGATAGAGTGCCGCTCGACGTCCTGCACGTCATCTCCGTGCCAGCAGTCCTCGGTCTCCGTAGGAAACTCCCCACGCAAACGCCTCTATCACACTCGCCCACAGCGGCTCGCACATCATCCAGCAGGTTCTGCTTGATCCCACCAGCCAGCTCGCTCACGGCAGAAGCGCAGAAGCGATATCGCGCCTCACGGTATGAACTTATCCCCTCGGACTATCGTGCTACTGCGCGGCGTTGCGCCCAAGCCCGTACATGAACCGCATCTTTCAGTTCGCTGGCACTGAACCTCGAAGGCAGTCCCTGAATGTGAGAAGGCCTCGGAGCTCTCAGGGTACCGCATCACGAAGCGTTCTCAGGATCGCAGCGCTGACTTTTGCTTACCATTCGTTGCTGTGACCTCGGAAGGCATCGATGATACAGCACCATCATGCTAGCCACCGAAGCGCTGGCCTTCGCTGGATAGTGCATTTGACTTCCTGACCTCTTGACACTAGCGATCCAATATATTTTGGCCCCGGCTTCACGGCAAGGCGCGATGCTTCCAGAGATGCGAGCACCCCGGAGTGATTCTGCACTGTTTCTGCGCTTCGTACATCACGGACATTCCATGAGGAAGTAGTCACACTACGCGCCTGTCCCAGGCATGTGGGATTTGTCGTGACCGCAGCATTCGTCGTTGACAAGCACGGCGTGCGTATGATACCGTCGTCGGAGCGACGGCGTGTCCTGTGAACAGCCTAGCTCTCAGCGGTTCCGCTTCGTGCATTGACGTAGAACTTTATGCCATGTGCGGCAGGTGGAAGCGCACCGCGCAGCGCCGATCTGTCTCCGCAAACCTAAAGCACAAACCTAATGAAGCAGAAACGACCACCACACGATGCAAAGATAAGACACGCCTGCACTATTGCATGCTTTCGGTGACATGTAAAGTACAGATGATCATTCATATATGATCCAACTGTTGCGTAACATACCTGACCGCACGGACCACTCCTCCGATGCACGAATCCCACGAGCGGTCCTAACGGTATAGATCAGGGAAGTTTTTCTCTTTTGTTTTCTGGAGATAACACAGGAGGGGAGCTGCGCGGTCCGTTCCTTCCTGCGTATTGTTCAGGGAAGTTCAAGGACATAACTAGAGCGTAGATCCGCCAGAAACGACCTTCGTTCGACATCAGCACAGCCGATCGTACTCGGACGCTCAACCGCACCGCCTGCCGTTTCAGCCACCAGATCCATGCGCATGTGCAATCTGCGCTCGCAGACGGATTTCTGCTGTGGCCGAATTGCAGGGCGCTCGTGTCATAAGGCTGTCACCCCAGCGTCCTATGCCAACTGACGTGCTCTTGGCTGCATCCGTCAGATGAATTCATCATGGGGTCGTGATAGCCTTTACTGCGAAGGGCCAGAGTGTGGAAGTCAGGGATAGCCGAGATTGCGTATGTCGCGAATTTTGGAGACAGGCTCTCACACGGAGTAACCAGTCGCCTCCCAGGACGGATTGTCGTGCGTGTGGATCCGGAGGTAATGTTGATTGTGTGGGACACCCACCCTCGATTGCGGCAGGGAAGACGTCAGACGCGCCAGGCTGCCGAAGGTGGACAGTGGAAGGCACGATCCTCGTTCCTCCCATAGACACTATTCGGAGATGAGTTTCTCGCGACACCATGCGGCATCAGCGCAGGCATCAGACATCATCGCAGTGTTGTGTGCGAAGCCTGTGCGCCGCCGGAACCACAGTGAGCGTGACCTATGCATTTATCAAATTTGATGTGGGTGAGACCAAGTGATGATTAAGTTGACGAGACGGTCTAAAGATTGCACCATATCGGGAGCGCGCAAACATGGCATTACGAGTTTGTTGTACATCCAGGACGACACCGTGACTGACCCGAGACTAAGTCTGCTAGCTAACCGCAAGCCAGGCAGGTCAATGTGCAATTGCGACGTACTTGCAGCAGTGTCTATGGCAGCTCCATCGATACATTGCGACCTGAGTGACTCCCCTTTGATAGAGAACCCTCGATATCCCGTACGTTTCGATTATGTATCGACAAGGATATAGCCTCATTAATATAGCTGATGTTGACAGGGACGTAGTGCCAGCCACAAAAGAGGATATACGACCTTCAGCCCCACAGTGGTGCCGAATAGGATCCTTGCGCAGAACTGCCGGGCGTGCATACGCCGCGGCCTACGAAGTCGAAGATTCCGACAAAATCGCGAGGAACGAAAGGGGTCGCAGGCACCGGGCGAGGCCCGCAAGCAGGTCGAAGAAGACACAATCAGTACTTGGCGTTCAACGACATTTCCTCGACCAGCCGAGCTTGGCCTGGGCCAAGTGGCCCTGACGGCATGTCGGACTCAGTGAAGCGACGTCCTCGGTGGCAGTAGTACGCCGAAGTATGATGATCAGCTTGATACCTGCATGGAAATTTTTTAGGAAGGCTGAGTAGATGGGGTGACGTCCGTTGTCTAATACTACAAGAAACCTGCTGAACTATGCTTACATCTTTCTTAGCGCCGCTCTTCGTCGTCGCGGTCAGCAGACACTGCCATCTTCGGGACGCAAAGACAACTCTCACCCGAGCAAAGAAACGCGTAAGGTCACCTTGGCACAAGTTCTTCACAACATGCGTATAGTGAGCCCTCAACAAGTGCGGCAACGATGTATGACGTTCCAGTCGTTTTCATATCGATAGGCTCACCCCGTCAAAAATTTCTACGTAGTCGGAGTTCGGCGGAGTGTGAGATCTAAGCCTAACCTGATCTAGTAACAGCGCGCTGGCACAGCGACACACGGCCGCATTCGATTTTGTCCTATATTTCAGCTTGGCTCAATTGCTGTGACAATGAACGGCTCCTCACATTAATGGTTCTTGGGCGCATCGACCATGGTGGCATCACTCGCAAACACCTATGCCAGAATTTCCGATATTATATGTTACAGGTCATACGACCTGAATCCTTGAGTATTACGACCTCTGCTAAGTTCTAATCTCCTTCGTATACACCGCCGTGCCATCCTACCCAGAGAGATCACCGATTCAGAGCTCGGGCTCTCGGCGCAGAGATGGAGATGAATATTCATGATCCGCTTATGTGGGGTTTTTGACAAGGTGAGCCTATCGATACGAAAACAACTGTCATGTCGCAAGTCAAAACGAGAGGCAAGATCGGCGCCACAAGTTCGCCACAATTCGTGACGTCAACCCTAACCCTGGGTTATCAACTGATGGTGCATGATGTCAAAAAAGGAAGCCATCGTCTTCATCCCATCCCATATGCTCGCGGGAAGTCCTTATATGAACGGCATTCATGCCCGCGGCGAAGTATGGCCCTTTGTGAAATTTGTGTCTGCTCTCTAGACTCTGAATGCTGCGTCATGTTGTCCACTCCGATTCGGAGCATCGGCTAAACTGCTCATGTTTGCACAGCTCTGGATATTTGCGTCAGCGGTAGCTCCACAAGCACCCATCGAGGATGGGCACCATGCAGATGACCTCTTCCAGGTGCGCGTACACTTCCAGAAGTCGCGAACTGACCGGTCATCGCTCGCCGCTACGGTTCTCGAGTGGATCACATTAAACTTCGCCATGCCGCAGTACTACCATGTGCGGCGGGCATCTGCCTTGCGCCCAAACGTCATAGCTGCATGCAGCCTTCATTATGATACCTGAGATATAAGTGCCACGCCGTTGAGCACTCGACGACACCCCCTACCGTCCGATCGCCCACCTGCATACTCAAAATGGTTTACGCTCTCTGGCTCGCCGTATTCTCCCTCCTCGCCGCACTCGCCCATGGGCAGATGATCAGCATCGGTGCGCCCGCCGAGTACGCTGCCATCAGTGCGGGAAGCAATATCACCGTACAAGTCGTGCGGCCGGTACGCATGACCGCTCCTCGCCCAGACGTGGCGCACTGACCGCTTACTTGGTTCAGTCAACGCTCACAGGATCGCAGGAAATTGCCCTCGTCATCGCCTTGAACTCCTGCACGGAGCATCCCGACAACACCTGCTCATCCTTCGACGTCACACAGGACCTAGGCCATGTCATGTACTCTGGCCCTTTCGCGCCCGAATACCAGTCCTCCGAGCCGGACAGCCAACCCGCACAGAACTTCACAGTGCTTGTTCCCGAAGGGATGCCGCAAGGCGAGGCGGCGCTAACGGTCTCGCATTTTTCGCTCATTGGTGTAAGAGCCTTTGTCTCATCTGTCAATTGCAACGACTCAGCGATGGACAGGCTGGTCCGTATCCGAGCCTTGAAGTCAAAAACATCACCCTCATCATTCAATGAGCCAGGCCGAGTTTCCAGGCCCGAGATTTGGATGCCTACGTTACAGACTGTGCATGCTCCTGTTATAGCACAGCTCGCGGGCCCATCACTATGCGATTCGTGGACGATGGCTCTCATCCCTTCCACCGTGGGCGGACTTCTCGACGGACTGATGTAGGACGGTAGTCGTACGGGTTTTCATCCTAGCATGCCTAAGGCGGACTTGCACACATTTTCTTTAGATATGGGATCTGACATTATCACTCGATACAGTAAGACAGAGTTTCTGTATGACATTTGGCGATTGCTAGTACGTGTTCCCAAAAGGAACCCACGGGGCGGTGGCAGAAAACAGTGAAAAAAAACTTTGATACTCATTTTGATAGGTCCTTCGAGCCGGGGCAGTAAGACAAAGTGCTGTACGGCATTCAAATACTAGAACGTGTTCCCAAAAGGATCTCATAAGATGGTGATGGAAAACAAAGTGCTATAAAGAGTCCTTCGAGCCGGGATCGAACCAGCGACCTCAAGATGACAATGCAACCATTACAGTCTCGCGCTCTTCCAACTGAGCTATCGAAGGAATACTACAGGATGCACTCTATAACATAACAGAGCTGTTGGCGTGTCCCGGCAAGATCGGACCGATTGACCGCGCTCCAGTGCGCCACCATCAGGCGAACACGGCCGACGTGAAGGCGCACGGCACATTTCATCTCGCTGCATTTTGTGACCAGTCGCGGGCAATGGTGGCCAGAGTTTCTACTGGTCAGTCTTCATGGCAGTGCGCTGCGCAGGCCCACTAGCAGCCAATCCCGGGCTCCAACGGTCAACTCTCCTCTAGCGGCTTAGTTATGGCGCGCGGCGCGGGGCGTTACTGGACTGCCACTCTTCCAGACCTGGCTGGCTCCTCACCGTCTTACCAATGGCCTGCTGCATCCAAGGTCGTGTCGGGCTGGTTTCGCCGTGCGTGGGGCGGGTGATTCCGCCTGTGCCTGCGACGGTCATGTGCGTCAGCTCGAACGAGTCGGAGCTCGCCGCCCATGAACGTCGGCCGCATCGCCACCAGCGGGAGGCGGCACCCGGGAGTACATATAAAGCCGCAATGGGCCCTTTGCTCTCCACCATCCTCGCACTTTGCGTACACTCTTAATCGCGCCTAGCGTACCCCCGCCTATTGCACCTTTCGCTCTCGCATAATGAAGTCCTTCGTCGTCGCCCTCGGCCTCGCTGCCTCTGTGTTCGCGCAGTCCATCCAGATCGGCGCGCCGGTAGAGTTTTCGAGCATCACCCCGGGCACCAACATCACGGTGGAGGTAGACAGACCGGTACGTGTTTCTCAAGACATTGAAGACTGAGGCAGCGCAGCTCACAGCGGGCCACAGGACACCCTGACCGGCTCGCAGGAAGTCGCGATCGTCATCGCGCTCAACTCCTGCGTCGGGCCCGGGCTCGACGGCTCGTGCGCGTCGTTCGACGTCACGCAGGACCTTGGCACCGTCCTCTACTCGGGCCCCTACGACCCCGAATTCCACGACGTTCCGGGACTGCCGAACAAGCCCCCGTACCAGAACTTCTCCGTGCAGGTGCCCTCGAGCCTGCCACAGGGCGAGGCCGCCCTGACCGTTTCCCACTTTTCGCTGATCGGGGTGCGTGTCGCGTTCGCGTTCTCGTTCTCCATTACTGTTCAAACAAGCTCATATGGTTTTGTCTTAGTTGGGGCCGTTCCCCAACCTTGAGGTAAAGAACATCACGCTGAACGTCGTCTGAACGACCCCCGTGTCATCTGACCCACCACGACCCGACCACATGGACACTGACGCACACGGACTATGACCATTAACTCGTACTAAATCGTACCAGTACTCACTACACTCATTGTACAGTACTTTAGTAGCACCCACTTTTGCTCACTAATGTAGTCACCTTATACTGCAGCTGATTCACAATGCGTGTTACGAGTTTCCTAAGTGTGATTTACATGACGGATAAACTTCTAGTTCCAAGGTATCTGTACGCCTGCTTCGCGCGTAATCTGGCTATTGCTGCTCGTACAACTGCCGCCTCTTCGCCTCCTCCTGGTTGCGGTTTACACCCTTCTGTACCTCTTTGTCCCAGTTGGTACCGAACCAGACAACAGCATACTCGCCCAGTCCCACTATGAAGAGCGCCACGACTTGTCCTATTAGGGATTCATCAGAAAATGAGTAAAGCGCATGACGGAGGTTTTCGTGTGGCTGACGAACCTATCCACAAGCCTCGCAACCCGAGATGTGTACGGGGATGGAAGGCAAGGGTGATACCCATGGGCAGCGCCAGCACATAGTACGCAACCAGGTTGAATGCAGCCCCGAGATGCTGCCGGCCTTCAGGGATTCAGAAATTGTTAAATGACTCAAAAACTCAATTATGGGATGAAGCACCTTGGCCTCGGAGGACACCTCCGCATGAGCCGGCAAGACCGTCCGCCACCTGGGTAAGACGCTGTGAACTATCATTCCAACCAACACAAGCTCCGCCTACATACCTGGAACGACGCCACCAACGGCATGACCTGGCTCACGAGCCGGACGACTGCGGCATCATCACTGAAAAGGTATCCAAACACCTAGCACAAACTCAACCTCAGCCACCGCACCACCACGGCGCCGGTCTGCTCACGTCTTTCGTGGCCATGAGCGCCACCATCACCGCGAAGCCCACGGCGACGCTCAGGAGCGCGGCCGCATGGCTTGCGCGCTGTGCGCCGGCGGCGTCGCGCGCCCCGATGCGGTTCCCGACGCGTGTCGACGCGGCGACCCCTGCGCAATCTCAGATTAGCTACCCGATCGCCCTGGTCGGATCTATGCCCGCGAAAGGCATGGGCAGGCGGGCTGACCTATGCCGAATGGGATGGTATTCAGGACTAGTGCCGGTCAGCAGAGATCTGGGTCATCAAGGGGACTAAAACGAACTCTGATCGGTGGTCATGATGACGGATTGCGCAGCGAGAGGAAGGGCGCCAAGACGTCCGGCAGCGAGGGCGACGATCTCGAAGGCTGCCCTGTGAAACTTGATGAGCATCACAGATTTTCCGTCTATAGTTCCCCGTACCATTCAGTACCGACCATGAGAATCCCGGGAATCGCAAGTTTTAGGAATTCGATGCAGCTCCGGATATCGAAGACAGTGCGGAGATGGAGTCCGGCCCAGGTGCCATTCCGCTTGTGGGTCGGCGACAGATACGTCACCAATATCAAGAGCGAGAAACACAGCCAATAGGTGATGGAGATGGCCAGTGGGGCTCCCAGCCAGCGGAGCGGCGTGTGGTGCACCAACACGACGTTCAGCGCAAGGTTAACGGGCGCAGCCGCAATAAGCACGAGTGTTGACGCGCGCATGATGCCTACGGCATCTCAACATCTCAGTGTCGCACACAGGAGCACAGTGCCGTAATCGCGTACCCTGGCACTGCAGATACTTCTTGAGGCTCTCGAAGCCGATGTACCCTGGCGCTCCGACGAGCAAGACGCGCAGGAAGCGCTGCACGTCGCGGCTGAGGGCCGGGTCCTGCCCGAGGAAGAGCAGCACGGGCTCGATAAAGGCCCAGAGGACCGCGACGGGCAGGAAGAGCAGCCAGAGGAGTACGAGGCAGCGCTGGAGGTGCACCGAGACGGACGGCCGGTCGCCGCCGGTGAAGGCCTGCGACGCGAGTGTGTCGAGCGCGGTCGTGCCTCCGAGTGCGACACACCACCCTGCTTGATTAGAATGCAAGCCAAGTCAGGACTCGCCTGCAGAACACAGGGCGCATGACGCACCGACCATGGCCAGCATCAGCGAAAAAGCGGCGACGGATAATTCATCTGGGCCGAGACGCCCGGTAACGAGCACAGAAACGGTTTGGATTGAATTCTGGAGAATATAGGAGAGTATGACTGCGCGGGGAGGACATGGTGAGCACGAGAGGGGGGCGGAGGAGAGGTTGCGCACCGGGAACGGAGTCGACGAGGAGAGACGCGAAGAGCGGGCCGAACGCCTGGGCCGGACCTGCTGCATCCGGATTTGCTGTGGCACTGGAAGAGTGCAGCGCTGCGAGCTCTGCAGAGTTCGAGCTGCCCGACGGCGGGAGCAGCGTGTCCTCGCTCGCGGGCCTCGAGAGCAGCGGCTGCGTCTCGTCAGCTGAGCGGCGGGCAGGGGACATGCTTCCGAGGGAATCCTTGCGTAAGTGCCTGCCGCAGCCCCGCTTATACGCATCTCGTTAACTCGTGCATCCTCATGCTTGCGCCCTCAGAATATCTTTCATCGAGGACGCTGCCGACCCATCACGGAGCTACTGCTTCCGTATCGCTGCCCAGCCCTTGGTCACTCCGATAATGATCGCTATCGGGCCCCCAAGGACCCGCTTCACTCCAGGCCCTAGTCTGCCCGGGACGACACTCGGTACCATGGGTACTTGGCATTCCGACACTTAGGTCCCATCGTCATATGCTTTGCCTCATGGCCAATGTCCTGCTCATCCCTCATGAGATATGGAAGCCCATACCGTAAGACTGCCTTAAGCATATTCGGTTTTCCCAATCTTCTGACAACGTCACAGTTCTGTGCGTTCCACTTATCGGTCATGGGGCGGACGCATGCGTTATCTCGCCCCGGCTCTTGGCGGTCATCGCACGCGAAATGATATATATTGTCCCTTGCGTGCGGCGATGAGCTCAGTCGACCTGCTCAGAGTAACTTCAGCATGTGGTCTTCAGCTCGCTTTCTCCTGCTTGTTTCCGCCGCTCTCGCCGCCTTGGGCCACGACGAATACGACCATGGTGTTCAGATGCCTCTTGATTATGTGAAATTCCCGTACCAGGCCGTTTATCCCGGGGACAACGAAGGTCAGCGCGTCATATTAATCGCACCGGTATGTGCATTGTCTCAGGTCTCCGTGAATAGTCACTGCGGATTCCGTGTTCTCTGGAATTACGACATTCGCCAAGCTCCCGTGGGTCAAATGTCTTGGGAAAGACAAAACCGAGACCTTTGACATCGCCTTCATCGGAGCGCCATTCGTACGTATGACCGCCCACGCACCACGTATTGCTTTCTCAAATGGAATGACGACCCACAGGACACCGGGACGTCATACCGTCCGGGCGCGAGATTCGGCCCAGCAGGCATACGAGCCGGATCGAGGCGTCTCACGCTGTATGGAGGCTACAACGTGCCCCTCGAAGTGAATCCATTCCTTTCTGGGCTGAAGATCGTGGACTGCGGTGACATACCCGTGACGCCTTACGATAACCACTTCGCCATCCAGCAAATCGAGAGTGGGCACAAGGAGCTGCTTACTCGCAAAGCGTTCTCCTCGCTTGGGAACGACTCCGCCACTGGCAGGGCCCTGACGCCCATTTCTGCTGACGGCGTGAACCACCCTCGCGTCATCACTCTTGGAGGGGACCATACCATAGTCCTCCCCATTCTGCGCTCCATCAACAGCGTTTACGGCGCCATCTCCGTCATTCACTTTGACAGTCACCTAGACACATGGAAGCCTCAGGTGTTCGGTGGCGCTCCATCCTCTCAGGCCGCTATCAATCACGGCACGTATTTCTATTG